TGCCTGCAAACGTTCCTCTTACCTTCCCTCCTCTTCCACCTCTTCTTCTCTGTATATGGATCTGTATAGAGATGAATGAAAATGGTTTGTTAGCCCTCTGCAGTTGCTGCAGCTGTCCATGTCCCAGGAAACCACCAAGAGTTCCATTTCCTGAACTGGCTGCAGTAATGAACGGAAAAGAAGAAATTTGCAGTTTCTCAAGTCTGATTAAAAGCTTGGAAAGGAGATTGTGTTCTAAGTGACAGAAATACAATGCTGGGAAAACGCAGGCTTCTGGTCATGTATTCAGCTTTGCACAAGGATTTGCTTGGAAAACTGCAAGGGTTCAAGGCCAGCACTGGAACTGGCAGTTACTCAGACCCTTCTGGACACTCTGAGAAGGACAGTACCTGGATCTACTCCCTTTCCATAGTCCCTTTCCAGTATCTTACCCACATTTCTCCTTCTCTCATTCTTCTTTGTTACTGGTCATTCCCTGAATTTGGTGCCTCTGTTTTGCATCTCCATGGCAATGTCATCCCTGGCACACTTTGTTCTTGTCCTGCAGCAACATAAGCGTATTGATGTTTTAGTAAGACTTCGAGGCTGACACTTCATTAACTGTCTGGGAAAAGAAAGATCCTGCACTGATTACTTTTTCCTTACATTGCTGAAAATAATAAAAATCTGTTTCCCACATTATTTCTTTGAGACAAGGCTATAGTTTCCGGTTTTTAGCTCTTCTGGAGTGCTATCCTTACTAAGTTGCTACTGGAGCAGCCTAGAAGTAGCAGATGAACTTTCAGGATGGAAATTGATCACAATTCAGTGAATTTTAGTGGGGAGTTTTCTTAAGGATAAGAAACTCATTAGTTTAAACACACTTCAAATTCCCTGTTCATGGCCCAAAACATGTATGAAAGGCTTCAAGGCTGAAAGGAGACAGATTTTCTGATTTCTCTTTATTGTTCGCTCTTAGTTTTAGCAACACATCAAGTGTGAGAATGTTAAGGACTATTTTTTTCCTTAAGTGTAAAATGGAGATAGCTTCTACTTGGGAATTCCTTCATCCTATGTGAAGAGATTTCAAGCACACTGTAGTTGTGAACAAAGAAACTAAGTTTTAGAGGCAATCATCAAAGTTCTGGCAATAAACCCAGCTTATTAACAGGAATATCCTCTGCATGACGTATGTGCCGTTAAGCCCTCCCAAGGGTGATAAATGATCTGGAAGAGCAGATAAGGGGTGCTGAAGTATGCAGTTTGTGACAGAACATCAGATCATCTTCCTGCCAAGTCGTCCCTGTGGAATAGAAAGAGACAAGAACTTGGATGGTTTTGCCTTTGCCAGCAAGAGATGCAGTGATTCTTCTCTACACAAAGCACGAACAACCTATAACCCCTTTGTAAAAGAAAAAAAAAACAACCAAAAAACCAAACAGCAGCAGGAACAACTTCTACACAAAGAAGTTTACAAGGACTTTTCTAGTGACTTTTATAAAAAATGGATCCTGTTAATTTACAGTGGTTATGTAATTAGCAGGTCAAATCACAACTCTACTTATTTTAGAATATTCTTGAATGTAATCCACAAGTAATATACTTTTTATAAGTTGTGACTATGTCACTACGTAAAAACGCATTCACCTTCTCTTAAAACGTCTTGAGAGGTAAGAGGCTAACCGAGACTAGTTAAACTCAGGGTGGCAATGCAAAAAATTAATGTTTCTTATCTGGAAAACCTGAGACATGGAAAAGGGGACAGAAAAGAAGGACAAGTGTTGTTTTAATGTAGCTTCTGCCAAAACAAGTCACACTCGAGATCCTAAACGTAAAGTGATTTATCTACTGTATGAAATTTTCTCCCAAATCTGTATTCCCCAAACTATAGTGGGCCAGTGCCAAAGGATTGCAAGAATGTCATTTTCCTCAATTCTTATTTTAAGCTTATCTATGGAACAGGTCATTGAAGAATGGAAAGAAGATCTTTCTTTCCTGTTTTAGTTACACCTCATCATAAGCCATCTGCTATCATGCCGTTACATTTTTGCAGTATTTATGTGAATTGAAAGTGTGTGCATTAGAATACACTGCCTCTCCTCTGCCTTTCCAAGACGTCAGGTGGATGACCAAGGAGTGCCTGTAACGCACTGGGGAGTACCTTATTCTGAAGGGTACCAGAGCTGCACCAACATGAAGGGATAATTGTTAATTGTTGGTAGTCTTTCAGTGGAGCGAAAGGAAACAGGGAAACAAATGTAACTTATTAAAGTTTCTCGAGTAAGATACTTCCCTGAGGAGGAGGAGGCATATTGTTTTGCTTCTTGTTCTTTGCTTTTAACAAACATCCTCAATAATCTTAATGAAATACAGTGTAATACTCTCTGTTCCTCTTGTGAAATGTTATGCTGAGAATATTCTCAGATTCTCTTAAAGAATTTGTCTGATTACTTAAGTGGTCACTTTTTGTTTGTCTTTAATGTAAGATGTGGTAAAGTAAATGCATGAACTTATTTATATTCTTTACAAAGTTCTAAATAGTTCTAAATCACATTCTTATGTTATTTTGTTCCCACAGAAGTCAGTTGTTTGAAGACAGAAATGTACAGAACAGCCGCAATTCTGATTTTGTGTTTGGAGAAAACATGGTTGAGAGAGTTTTGGTAAGCTCTGTAAATGCTGGCAGACTTTTTATCAGGGTTCATGGCGTATGAGTATAATTTTTTTCAGAGATTGATTCTTTTTAGCCCCTCCTGTTCTTCTAAAGATGTGCGTAAATATGATTCCAATGACTGTTGAGGAGAAAATATCTAAATATTAGCTGTAGGAGGGGTAGGCATCCCTGTGTTCCCCATCCTAGATAAGTACTTTAATTACTAACCCATACCAGTATGCACTTCTTCTCTTTGGCTCATTTTTTGACCTGAAAAAGGGTTTTTTATATATTCCATGTAAAGTGGGACAGCCGCAATACAAGATAAAAGAATGTGCTCCCCACCGCTCTAAGTTTCCATCGTAACTGTTAAGAGATGGGAGAAATTAGTATGAGGGAAAACTGAACACCCATCCTAGATAGTGCCCATGTTAAACTATATGGTGCATGCTGTGAGACAGCTTAGTGGATCAAGTCCTGAAGGAAACTCAGACAAAAAGGTGGTTCCCAACCTGAGGACTGCACCACTTAAAATGGAATTGAAATTCAGTTTCTAGTAGAAGTAGAATGAAAACAGTATGCATATCTGCCAGTGAAAAAGCTTGGCAATCATAGGTCTGGGTTATGACTTCTGAGCAGGGTTTAGTTACAAGGTAGTTGAGCGACTGAGCATTCTCGGGAGCCAGAAGCATTTATTTAGACCTACCTAAGAAACTCTATCTGCAAAAACTGAAGGCCATTGAAATTTTTAATTCCTCTGAGGTTAACTTTGTGGTGTATGGGAATTTTAAACTATTCTTCTGGGGTTTACGTGCTTAAACTGGAAATTAGCTGGTACTTAAATATCTACGTCTTTCAGTGGATTTAAATCCTAGTCCAGGATCCATACAACGAGGCTATTCTTCTTGGTGGAAGAATGATGTACTGGTTTTATAATAATAAAATTATTTCCACTAGAGACTGAAATTGTATCATCTGGGTCAGTTTTTGCTCTTAAGATATTACCATTGCTAATCTTCAGCCTAGCATGCATTAAATGATTCAATGTTCTGTTTGATATGAAGTAACATGGCCATTGTATTGAAATAGGAATTCTTATTTCGCCTGTTTTTTTCTAGAGTCCTGAAAAGCACCCCAAGCCGTGTAATGAAGCTGATTCATACAAAGGAGAAATAACATCTGTGTACACAGAATCTTTTCATGTCAGTCCACAAAGAAGTAAGCACACTCAGCAAACAAGTACAGTTAGCTTTATTATTATATGTTTTGCTGTATCTTAGAGGATGTCAAATGAGTCGTGGTCAATATTTTTCATCTATTCTCAAGCTGTCCAGTCACTAGTACACTTGCACTATGTGTCAAAATCTGTGTTCAGAAAGCAGATACAGTTTGGTTTATGACATTTGAACTGCACTAATTTCAGAATGAATGATCTAAGTTACTCAAGAAAGGATAGTGTTTTACAGATTATAGATTATTATTGTTCATTATTTGAAAAAAATGCAGTGAACTTTGTGAATGCCTTTTACACCACATTTTTGAACTACAATTTTAAGCTGTTGCCTGCTTGTATTTTGTGACTGCTCATAGAAATTACTTTGCCATATTTGTATCCCAGTTGTAGGACTGAAACTTCCATACAGACAGATTTCAGGGGCTGTTTGTGACTCTGGTGTGAGCTTTTCTACTAGGCAAGCCATGTAAACTTAGGTTGTGAGGGAATCCTAAGTAGGCCCCTATCTTGAGCCCTCTTGCCAAACTTTGTACCCCTGTTTACTAATGGAGGTACTGGATCCTCTTATTTTGTATGAACATTCTTACAAGTAAAAAAAAAAAAAAAAAGAAATTAAAGCCTATGGAAAATGTATATAGATTATGCAAATATACAAAATTTTGTAACAACGTTGTTCCTTTCAGATCTTGTCCTTTCATGTTCCTGTCAAATATTCATTGTATATATGTTACTATTATGAATATTGGGACATATGTCTTTCATTATTTATTAATAAGCACAGCAATATGACAGACCAGTTTCATTTGGAAAATCAACTTCTAATTATTTAGGACTTGTTTCTGCAAGTTGTCCATTGGGGTGAACCTCTGCAACTGCAGAGAGCCCTGTTCAATTCAAAATGAGCCTAAACAGGTGAGACATTTTGCAGTATTCCAGCCTTTTCCCTTTTCTCTTCTATTTACTGCTTTGGCCAAAAACTTATTAAACACTAAATAATATCAGACACCACAGGGATTACTGAAGTCACAGGCCATCCTATGTGCTAGTTTTGTTATCGTGAAAATACTCCCTGTACAGAAAGGATTTCCTTTTTTTTTTTTTTCACTTACAGAAACAGTTTTGCTGTGGAATGCAACACTTAATGAATCAGCAGCTGCTTGTATTTCCAAGCCAGTGGAGAAAATTCTGTTAGATAAAGTTGAAGTTATAACTGGAGAAGAAGCAGAACACAATGTATTACAGGTGTGTATTTCATAAAGCCTTGATGGCGAGCAGTTTTGTTGTTCAAAAGAACATCTACATCTATTACGGATTGCAGCAATCTGAAAATAACTTCAGTTTATATTTTCAATTTTCACTTTTTTAAGATATGCCTCTGCTAACTCATTGTTCTGTAGGCTGATATTTTCTTTTTATATTACATTTGTTCATTTTATAGTCCCTTTCAGTAAGTGACTGCTTCGGAACTTCATTCTACAGCTGTATTTTATAAGCACCCACACAGTATACCAACAGTAACTAAAACGTCAAAATTGGAAGTGATTTGAGTAAAGATTTTTTTATGACAAAACTTTTTTGGGAAAAAAGCAATGTGTTGTCAAAGTAATTAGTTTTATAGTTCATCTAAAATATCAATTATCTTTCTGGCCCAGCAGGACGTATCTTGCTATTCTTCATCTTCAAACTGTTATTTTCTCAGAAAATATCAATGATGTATATGATTTTAAAAATCTTAACATTGAAAGTTACATTATTTTATCACTGATTAAATCTTCTGTCTTGTGAGAACATGGAAGTTTTACTTGCTTTGCAGTAGTACTCTCCTAGTAGTGGTACTGGTGTCCTGGGCTGCGTAATGTTTCTAATGAGTGAGGGTATAAGATTGTAGAACACTTGCAAAAAATTCAGCTGTGTTAGTGGATATCACAGATGAAGAGTTAATGAAGATGAAATAATTGAAAAAGTAAACTGGGATTCGTGCTGAACCAGAAAGTTTAGCACAGATCTGGGAGCCATTTCATTTTAAGTAATAATGGTGATACATCTATATATCTATCTCTTTAATACATCCACATGCATGTGTACAGGCCATATCAAAAGGTTTAAAAACATAAAAGTTTTAGAACCAGTAAAATTAACATTGGCTGGCAGTTTCCATCATGTATTTCTCTTTCAGATCAACTGCAAGCTCTTTGTATTTAATAAGCTTTCTTTAACCTGGATTGAAAGAGGCAGAGGATCCCTGAGGCTTAATGACACTTCTAGCAATAAATGTGGAATGTTGCAGTCAAGGCTAAGTAAGAATTAAATAACGAAGTAACACATAGACAAAACACTAAATAACTTGTACTATTGCTGACCAAAATAAGTTTATCTCAGAACATTTAAAACTGAATAGCTAGTTTTATTTAAGTTAAGTTGCTGGGAGTATTTTTAACATTGCCTGATAAAGTTAGCTGCGTTACGGACTGAGGCACTGGGCTTTTTTCACTCAGTTTGTACACTCACGCTTGCATATGTTGTTACGGTCTGTGTGTTTCTACTGCAATGTATCTTTAGCTCAGTCACCAGTCTGACAGTTGCTCTTTGTTGATTTTGCTTTTCCAGGAGCACTGTTTCAAGTAATTTCTGGAATGTTGTTTTTACTCTGCCGTCATTTTTTGTACTGTATTGCACAGTTTCTGAAGATTATTTGCTTTGTATGCCAGATGTATTGAAAGAAACTATAATGTATTTTGGCACTGAAAATAATAACAATAAAAAAAATCTCACCATGTCCAGTTTTAGACCAAATTAAGTGGAATAATTCATGAAAAGATTAGTTATATACAAGTGGTAGAGAAAACTGCTGCAGTAAAAATGAAGATGGTTCCAATGACTTGTCATATAAACCTTCTTATTTTAGTTATGCGAAATCAAGGCAGCTTGAGACTGATTCTCAACACCCGACTCTGGGATCAAATGGTGGTAGAAAGAGCAAACAGAAAGAGCCTGTGCTTCACTGCAACAGACCAAGAGGACCACTCTGTTCAAGTATTTCTAATTCAGGTAAGCAAGAGATAAAAACCCCACCCAAATCCCCATTTCATTTAGGATTCTGAAAACTTGCTGAGGCTTTGGTTTTAGCAAATCGCCTTTTATGCTCTGTCAGGCTATGCTTAGCTTAGCTGTTACATGGCATTTATTATGAAATGAGTTGGGAGTGCTAGCCCTTGGTATTTCAAAAAAAAAGGTGTGAAGATGGGATATGGCCTTAGGACAGACATTTCCAGGCTCTGTTTCACATAGCACTAATGGAATGGATATCGTTCCAGAGTCATATGCAGCAATTACTCTTTCTTACGGAAGAATTTCTACACAGGTAGTTACATATTCGTAAGTTACTCTGGTACAAGGCAGCAGCTTTCTGCCATGGTTCTCGACACAGTGCTTGCAATAATCCATCCATTGTAGGACCTCCATTCCTCAGCTGAGGAGAACACAGATTTTGTGATGTCACCTTATGTAAGACAATAGTCTTGGGGATCCTGGTTTCCTCTAGCAAGGGCTGACAAGTTGAGGATGGAAGTGTGGTGGACTTATTTGCAAATAAATAGCACATATGTCCTAGGCTGGGAAGTGAGAGCATCCATGTGAGTTTAAGGATATCTCCGGTTTCCCCAGTAGACCTTTCTGGGAAGGGTTCAGCCTCCTGGGCAAGAAAAATAAATCACCACCGCCAGGAAGCGCCACATGTCATACACAAGCAAAGCACCATGCACTGTATATGCAAGCGCTGTAAATCTATCACTTCCAAACAGTGATTGACTTAACTATGGCTGTGCTGCACAGCTGCTCTGCATGTAAGAATTAGAAATGTCCTGGATTTCCAGATGCGCTGCCGTTTTTCTAGCATATGTAGATCTAAACATTCCTGAAATTCTGTCCTGGCACTTCTGGACAGTAAAAAAAGACATGCATTAGGAAACCAAGACACATTACAGCCGTATGTATGTGGCAAGGGTTGCAGGAAGCTGCTTCTACAGTCGTCACTGAAGTGGCTGGTATCCATCCCTATAGCTGGTATCCAGCCAAACTAACACTGAGACTTTTGAGTGTGGAAGGCAAATTGGTCAATGTGTGAGACACCCAGCAGGCATCACCAAGCCTTGGCACGTAAATCAGGCTGGTCTAGTAGTCAGTGCAGCCCACTCCTCCAAGCCACCAGATATTTTTAACTGCCATTTAAATTTGTTTTTCCCATGCCACATGAATGAATGATACATTTGGTTCAGGGGTATTATCCAAAGAGCTTCTCATGAGTGAGGGAGAAGAGTCATATGATGCCGACTACAAAGGAGGCAGTCCACAGGACTCCATTAGGTTGGTCCGGTGGTACTCACCCAGGTTTGCGCAGAGGGCTGACCCTGCCCCCTCCCCTCATGCTTGTTTTTCCCTCCTCACTCTTGATGGCATTGGAATTTGTACAGCTATGAGTGAGACAGATCAGAGAACTGATCTGGGTGGTTTTGTTTGGTTTTGGGAAGTTAGTTGTTTAGCTTGATTTTATTCACCTGTGATCACCCTAATGGTGGTACTGGCACAATGGAGAGGGTAGAAATGAATAGTCAGAGGATGTATGGAGGTGAGTCTACCCCTGTTGGCAGAAATTGGAGTTCACATTAGGTTAAAGTGACAGAGGAACTCTGGCTTTTGAATGAATAAGTAGAAAGCTACAGATAGAAATGATCAGACTGAACAGCTGCCTTTTTCATATTTATGACCCTACATTTCCTGAAAAGCTGTGTTGTCTTGAGAGCTCGGATTTGTCCACTGAGAATTGCGTTTGTAGTTGAGACACCTGAACAACTCTGAATTGCTTGCTTCTTTGCCTGGCTGTAAGGAGAGAATTGTTTGCTGCTGCAAGTTTGGGTAGCACAGAAGGCAACCCTGATCTGCTGTTGCTTCCCAATTCGCATAGCTTTTCATAGAATCATAGAATCATTAAGGTTGGAAAAGACCCTTAAGATCATCGAGTCCAACCGTTAACGTGGCACTGCCAAGTCCACCACTAAACCATGTCCTCGAGCACCACGTCTACCCTTCTTTTAAATACCTCCAGGGATGGAGACTCAACCACTTCCCTGGGCAGCCTGGTCCAATGCTTGACCACCCTTTCGGTGAAGAAGTTTTTTCTAATATCCAACCTAAACCTCCCCTGGTGCAGCTTGAGGCCGTTTCCTCTCGTCCTATCACTCGTTACTAGGGAGAAGAGACCAACCCCCACCTCACTACAGCCTCCTGTCAGGCAGTTGTAGAGAGCAATAAGGTCTCCCCTCAGCCTCTTCTTCTCCAGACTAAACAACCCCAGCTCCCTCAGCCGCTCCTCACCAGACTTGTGCTCCAGACCCTTCACCAGCTTCGTTGCCCTCCTCTGGACACGCTCCAGGACCGCAATGTCCTTCTTGGAGTGAGGGGCCCAAAACTGAACACAGTACTCGAGGTGCAGCCTCACCAGTGCTTTTCCACCTGTACACACTGAAATGCGTCATTCCAGTCCAAACAAGATATATTTCTTCCTATGGCCAAGTGATACAGATAGAAATTACTCCACATGATGCACAGAAGTGGAGAATTGGGCTACAGAAGACCATATGCATTCTACCCTCTGCTAGATTATTTGCTTCATAAGAACATAAGAAGTACTCTACTGGCACTTCTGACAGTGCCCAAATGCAGCGCTCTTAGGAAGCACAAGCAAGCGTGGCCACTTTGTATGGTCTGTTCACCTCATCAGCCCCCAGCGTCCATGTGTTGTATTAGGCATATGAGAGCATGCACCCCTACTTGTTGCTTTTGCTGTCTATTTTATATTTGATTGTCCCTGAATTTTTCTAGTTCCTTTTTTAAATTTTTCTTACTATATTTTTGGCCTGTTGTTTTTAGTTTATGCTGTCTGTCCCCACTCTATCCTGAAGCAGCAAATTCTAGAAGTTTTTACTCACTCTGTGAAGAAGCACTTTCTTTTACACTGATCCTCTGCTTGCTTTCATTAAGCATACCGTAGTGCATTTATTGTGTGGTCTGATGAACAGCCGTACCATATTCAGTTTACCTACCTCTTTTATAATTTTGAAAACTTTAGTTATAGCCCCTTCTCCTCCTCCTCTTCAGACCAAAGAGTCTCCATTCTTCATAAGGATTTGTACCACACCCTTGATCATTGTTGGTGCCCTTCTCTTTACTTTCTTTAATTCTGCTATATCCTTGAGATGTGATGACCAGAACGGAACACAGTACTCAGGACATGGCTGCTCAAAGGTTTAAATTTTATAATCATAAACAATTTTTTGTAGTTAGGTTTTAAAGTTCTTATTTATTCTGTAAACCAAAATGCAACACCTATATTAACATTTCAGTGCTTTCTTAATTCTAGAATCATATTCAGGAATTGTCTGGAATATCAAGTACTCAGTACAAACTGAGCCATTCTTCAGGGGAAATAATAATTTTTAAGCTTGTGTTTCTTGTACCCATAGAGAAGATAATCAATAACTACATATTATAAACCTCAGACCACTTAAAGAAACGTGACATTATTTGCATTTAAATTTGTTTTCTGAAATGAATTATTAAGTGTGAATCTTAAACGGATTGTTTTGATTAAAAAGACAAAATACAGGTCTTTCATTACTTTTGAAAAGTTCTCAGTCAGCTCCTCTGTGAAAAATAGAGATTTTTCTCAGTTAGTTTGGACTGCATGCATTTTTTGTTCTGCAGGCAAGCTCAAAAGACACTGGATACCTGTATGCAGCAATACATCACCGCCTTGTGGCATTGCGAAGCGTTGCTGAGCAAGAGCCAGATGCTAATCAAGTAGACACAGAGTCAGAAATAGCTTTTCAGCCATTAAACTGTGATACCGATGATGAAGATGACGAAAAAATAACTCCAGTGAGCAGCAGTGGATCTGGTAAGCGGAAATTTTCCTGGGAATGCTGTATCCTTTCAGGGTATTTTCTTGTAAGCAATGAATAGTGTACTTTTTTTTTTTTTTCATGCTGACTATAACTTTCATCTGCTACAGATAGCCCTTTTCAGGTAGAAGAGGGTAATTCCTTTTAGTATTTTGACTTACTACTGCTAAAATGCAAGGTTTTGCCAGATAAAGTATCTACACATCTTTATAGCAGTGGAATACTCTTTTGACAAAAGGCTGAGGGTTAAGAAATTCTAATATTGTCAAGCTTTACTTAAAGGTTTCTTTAGTATATTTAAGTAGAAATTACTAGATGTATTGAGATACTAGTTGTTACTTGAGTAAGTGCAAGTTGAGTCTATTCCCATCAGCGCTTAGGTAGTTACTAATGGCTTCAAGCGTAAAATGTTTACCAAGATATTTATTATGCAGTGGTTAACTTCATTTAAAACACTGATTCTTGATCAGCTGTAACAACCACCTCACTAGGAAATTTTCAGGTCAAGATTTACACACCAGTTTTGCCAGCTTTCTTCAACGTAACAGAAATGTAGGCTCCTGAAAGTGAAGCACGCAACTAAAACAAGGGGCAAGCTGCTGACTTAATCCTACTCTAGAAGCTGTTAATACACCTCACAACGAGGCTGGGGTCACATTTGCAGAAAGCAAGGCAGAAACAGCTGTCAGACTTAAAAGCTCTTCTACCTTAGCAAAAGACAAGTCACATTTCTGGGGCGAATTCACTTGCTTGTGCCAAACTGCTAGAGCGGATACAGGAGCTGCCAATTATGTTCCATTTTCTAATAGAAGGACTACAGCAGGCATGTTTGAGTTGTTGCTCATAGCATTAGTTTCCCTTTTCAACTGAGTAACATACTGTCCTTATAAACTCTTCCTTTTAACAACTATTGAACAAATAATTGAATAATTTAACAAATAAAACAATGAAAAATGCTGATACGGCAATGTGTGAATGATTGGACAAAGAGTGCTCCCTGCTGAGGGAAATGCCACTGGCCTCAGACAGTTGCATGACTCTCCCCTTTCGGTTTTCCACTCCTTGGACTTGTAAACCTTACCTTCTTTGCTGTGTGGTAAATGTGCTTCAGCAAACAGAACAGATAATTCCCCTTAACCAGGCATATAGAATAGCCTAGTAAGGGAGCATGGCCTCCTGGGAGGCAAATGAGTTGTGGCTGACCCCTGTGGATAAAGAGCGCCTAGCACCCTACAGGTCTGTGTCTGGGGCGTGTTCTGCAACGAGTAACGTAATGTCAAAGAGTTGCCACTGCCTCCTCCTGCTTTGCTAACCATGGGTTTGGGGCTTTCCTCTCTGTCGGCAGAGCGGTGTCAGGTATGGGTGCAGACGGGGCCTTCTGGCTCCTGTTTTTCAGGCACCTTGACTACAGGCAGTTACAAATTCAGCACACGGGAGTACTGTGTTGCATTGCTAATATGCATAAACTCCATATACAGTTATTGCATAGACAGTTCTTTAATGTAGACACTGTGCAACTCTTGCAGGGTGCCCATCTCTTTCCACTGGCGGTACAAACAAACAAGTACCTACGTCAGGCTCAAAACATCATCCTGCCAGAATATGGATCTGTTGGACCACCAGCACCTAAGCTGGCCACTGGTAGCAGGTCATCTGAAGTCACTACTTAGACCCATAAGTGACTAAGATGTCTCCAAAAATGTTACTCCTTGCTTCTGACGCTTCTAAGAGATTTTACCATGTTTTCTTCATAGCCGTAAGGAGATTCTGTCCTTGCTCCAAAAGAATGCATTTTGTTTACATTTAGAAACAGGTGCTGTTTCCATCATGGTCATCAGAAATACCAGAAGGTCCTTAAAGTGTTGTAACCCCGTTACTATTTAGAAAGCACTGTTATTCCTTAGAGGCATAAGGCATTTCTTTCACAGGGGAGTACGAAATGTCAGTCATAGTAGTAGAATAGCATGGGGCTATAGGTAGGATGATTTCCATCCTTTTCCCTTCTCTGATTTTACAGGAATTTGTTTATTTTTATCCCCAAGGGGGAACAGAGAAGCTGGAAAAGTACATGTGAGGGACAAGGATGACAGTTTCACTGTCAAAGAAATGTTTTATGCATTATTTTTTATACTGCACCTCACCAATAACTCTCTCAAATCTTCTCCTAACTTCATCCTGATTGAGGGATCCTCTCTTTTGATTGAGGTGTTCTCTCTTTCCTGGCATGGAATTTTCTTTTAGAAGCTATTAGGGTGAATTCAAAGATGCTGGAGTCTAGGACTAGGTACGTCACAAGAAGTGTCTCCATACATAGTCATAGACCTTAAGAGAAAACCTTAGCGTGCAAAGAGACAGTGTGTCCTGTATGGGTCCACCAAGAATTGCATGGATTTTGGAGACTACTGGTGTTGAGAGCCGGACAGTATCGTATCACAGAAGTGCAACCTTTGTTTTATTTCAGAGATGTTTCCTAGTCCACTATACACGTAACTCCCATGTTGGCCTCATTAGGACTCTGTCATCTGCTGGTGTTTATCAAGATGTAAAATGTTGTGAGACCTTTTTTATTTTTAAGTAAGATACTCTTTAAAGTTCTTAAAGGAACTGCTGTTCAGCAACACCATAGGAACTCCTGAAAAAACTGCTATCTTTGTTCGACATTTCTTGTCAATTTAATTTAAATTCTTACCAATCGTTAAGGATTCCAAATCATAAATCTAACAAACACCCATGCCTGATAGTGATTAAAGCTGAGGAAAAGTTAAGAATTAACTTCTTTGTTGGAGTCCAAGTTTCTGTATTCTTTCCAGCAGGTATCAGTGACTTCTAAAGCAGAGAAGAAAAGACAACTCTCTGATTGGCTTTAGGTGCTGACATATCAGGAAAGAGAAGGGGGGGAAATTAGATCTAATATTCTGAGAAACACAAGGCTTTTCATTTCACCTGTAAGAGGTTTAAAACTTTTAGTAAGTATTTAGTGGTGGCCAGATGGTAGCAGCAATTTTTAAGCAGATACTGAGATAGTGATATTAATGTGTCTGGCATTGTATCTACTTTCTGCAGGTGAGCCAAAGCCACAGAGATTACGCACCAAAAACACCCCCGGGTAATTTATCATGACCAATGAGTTATTTGAAGATATGTTGGATTTCTCACAGTTCACTGAGCATCTATTATGAAGTGTTAAGACAGTGTTCCCCGTATAGAGCGAGGTGATTCGCATCCCAGATGCATTGTCCTATCTAGACATCTGAATCCCTAGTGCATATGTGCTTGTCTTTATTGACATGGGGGGTCACAGGCTTCATTCACTATTCACATGCTCAAATATTTGTGAATAATCCTGTGTTATCTAGCTAGATGTTTACCTAAACCAGGAACTGATCATATCCAAACTTTAACCTACTGCTTTGGTATTATGAAATGCTGGTTGTTTCAAAACATGAATACACTCAAATAAGCAAGACTTTTTAAAATTCTTTTTCAGATCATTCTAGATGGAACCGCAGGCAGCCTGTAGTCTGCTCATGACACCCACCAGAGGTTACAACAGCACGGCTGGGAACTCATCTTCCCAGAATGTCTAAGCTGACTCATCAGTCCCTGGAGGGAAGAAATCAGATGCATTTTGCTTTATGACTTTTCAGCAAAGATTATTTTCAGGGACAGCTTAGGTTTAATACATTGAGAAAGAACTTAAGATGCACTTTTGAGGATTCCGGTTGGCCTGCTTTGCACTGAGATGGGAATGACACAATGGCTTCCAATATTCAAGAAGTGTTACAAAGGCTTCAGATTTTAGAATTAAATATATTTAGATGCATTATTAAAGTGAGGAATTTTATAGGGAGTAAGTGTTTATTCATCATATTGATGGATAAAACCACATAACCATGAACTAATAATATATGTGAAGAGATATTTGTTACTTTTCATCTGTTATTTAAAATATACATTTGGAAAGATTTAAATCGGGCTTCACGAAAAACATTTATTTAAAATTGTGTAGTAACATTCAGCATCCTGTTTGTAAGTATATACAAGCAGAACTGGAGTGGCAGTTTAGCATGACCAAGGCCTATAGAAACCAGCCTTCATAACAAAGTGGTTTTTTTGTTTGTTTTGGAAATATCTGGAGTTGTATACTGGTTGTAGAATTTTGTTAAAGGGCAAAGAACCACGATCTGCCTTTACAGCTGTAAATACCAGGAGAATTCACCACAAAGAACTGCAAGCCAGTTCTAGGGGGCATATGAGTTTTAAGATCTGAAAGTGTATCTGCTTGCACTCATGAACACCTTTTCAGTTGCACGAAACAAGCACTTGGACTGTTAATTCTCCATTTGATATATGCAAATAAATGCATGCACAGTATAACTAGATATTTGCATAAAAATTTCTTTTAAATGTGTGAGATTATCTGAGATTACTTCTGCCTTAGCTGTAGCTATCCCTAAAGAGCATCACTGCTTGAAACAGATGAATGTTACACATCCTAATGTGTGCAATAATCCCAACAGTGCCAAAGACCCAGTCACTCTGTAAAAGTGATTCCACAAACTACTGCCTTCTACCTAACCATTCTCATGAGGAATTAGAAAAACGAACTCTCTCTAATGCCACCTGTGAATTAAGACTTACCGGATCATTCATAAGCCCATGCACAGTACAGACACCATTTATGCTCTGTGTTTTCTATTCATTCTGTCAAAAGATAAAGAAAATATGTCTATAACCATTCTGCTGCAACTTTCTGCTGCCTTGTATATTGTTGGTTACCAAATATTACTTCTTTGTCATCCTCAGAGCTGAAACAATGTTCTGAAGTATCTGAAGTCCTTTTAATTAAGGTAATTGTAATGATTTCTCAGTCTTAAAAGATGCATCACACCTGTAGAGTCAAATTACAATTTAGTTTTCCCATCTGAACATATGTATGAAGTTGGAAAAATAGCAGCTCCTTCCTGAATTCTCAGTGCCCTGTCAAGATTAGTATCCAGATGAAGCTGAACTAGCATCTGGAGTACGCTGAGTCCTAAATAGCCTGACAAAATTAGCACTTGTCTGACATTGATTTAGCATCTGGATGACAGTAAGCTTAAGTGGGACTGGATTTTTGCCTTCAGGACAAGGGGAGTGCTTCACAACAGAGCACTCGTGTCAAATAGTGAAGCACCGGGATTCTCTCTGACTCTTCAGTCTGCCGATAACAAAAATGTTCTTTCCGTCACTAGCTGTACATTGTGTCCTTCTCTATCTGCCTCACTCCTGACCATGACAACATTTGCATCACTGACCCTCATATTTCATTGCTGCAACTCAGGAACAAAGCTCCATGTTATAAAAACTTCAGCAGCTGTAAAACACAGCAGCCCTAGGTATTTAGCAACAGGTCATGGTGATAACTTTGCCCTGGAGTTCAGCTGGCTATGCACGGAATGCAGAGTTTGATTTCAAAGTCTCTCCTGATAATCAAAGCCTTCTGTGAAATAGCATTTAAGCACGTGAGTGCCATGATATCACTCCAAATTCTACTCCAGCTGTAAAATCCTTGGCAAATGAAGGAGCACTCCAGAGCAGGCACAACAGAACTTTTGCAGACATGGGACTTAAAGTTTGTCATTGGCTCCCACAGCATGACGAACAAGGCTTACGATCATTCACAAATAAACTCTCTTTTGATCTGCCCCTTCCCAAGATCGTTACATATATACACAAGTATACACACAAACACACGTGCTCATGCGCACACACTCTTAACCATGAAGCAATGTCTCCTAAAAGCTGAGGAGGAAAAGAGATGTTTAACTATTTTGAAGAGTTTGGATACTCTTTGGTTTGTGGTAATAGAGGACATATAAAGACATGTATGCAGAGACGTATTTATGGTATGAATTCTTACTCTTGAGATCGTAATACTTTATTTATTCTATTTAGTCTCATTGCACTAAAATTCATTGTTTCTCAAGACTGAAGGTATGCTAATATGTAATATATTAACTTGGTTTTAAAAAAAATGTAAAGTTTGTCATTTTATGACGGCTGGAGCAACAATTTCTATGTGTGAACAATAAACAATTTTCTTACAGCTTTAATTTCCATCTATCTAGTTGTCTTATTTTGTGTCCCAGTTAGAGGTTCCTACAGAGAGTTCCTTCCATGCTGCAGAATTTCAAGCCTGCTTTCCTAAGGAAATGAGATTTAAACAGTTGTGTACTCCATCCATCTACCTGTCAGACCCACTTCCAGCCCACTGTTCAGTGTCAGAAAAATTGGATGGGCGGTAGAAAGCTCAAAGGCAATTTAAGTTCTTCATGAAAATTGGCTGTTGTTGAGTGACAGAACTCAGAGGAAGGTATCCTTTGAGGAAAAAGTTTCAGGGTAAGCTTGGGATTTTCTGTGAGGCTTGTGGGGTTGAGTGGCATGTTCCAAGCTGCAGCATTGGCTGGGAGGGAGGAGAAAGGAAAAGCACGGAAGGATGGATACCTGGGATTACTGTGGCCTGAAGAGGGGTGTAGGGATGTGACCCAAATGCATATGAAACTAGACATCACTAATTTTGCTGTTTGTGGAGCAATCTGTTCTTCTGTGGTTTTTTTCCAGATTAATTCTATTTATTTATTTATTTCTAACAAATCCCAGTGATTAATTTCTATACATAAGGGATGCAGAGCTAGAAGCTTTTATGTATTAGTGCAGTAATAATTTTCAAAAGGAGGGAAAACTAACAATTCCTAATATAAGGATATATATGCTGGTATCTGCTGCTAAGATTATGAGTTTCTGGCAAAATCTACTTGGATGGGATAGCCTACATGGCTTATTTTACATCCTCAGGTGTTTGTATCTCTTCCTAAACCTTGCCACTCAGGTTTTTATGTCATGATCTTTAGTGACCTCTGAATTAGCTTTGGCAAACTGTATGAAGTTAAGACTTTGGTAATGTCTCTATCGAATGAATGAGTACAGGGAAAACCTTTTGCAATTTGATATTCCTCTCAGTGCGACTGACGGCCTGTACAACATGGACAGGGAGGGGCTACTGGGGCATGCTGGCAGGAAAATCTAGAAAAAACATCTTCTACAGCAGTTGTCTGTCTAAAAAGTTCAGATTCCCGAGTCATCTTTCACAAACACTGAAGTTATTCTTACAAAACAGTGTGTCTGCAGCTGTTTGAGCATTCAAATTGCTCCTGAAATGTTGAAGTCAGTTTTGTTAGTCCACTTCAGGGATGATGTAGTTTGCTTTGCATAAACAAAGACCGGGAAGAAAAGCAGAAAAGTAAATTTCTGTTAATTAAAACATATTCTAATGAAAGTGTGGACAAGAAACCTTGCCCCTTCTCATTAGATTTGTTTCAATAACTTGCATTCATAAAAATAACTGCATTTTTTTGCTTTTTCTGAAGCATTCTCCTCTATTTTGGAATTTATGAAGCAAATTATATGACCCAACTATGCCATCATTGATGAGGGTATGTACATATGATGCAATCGGAATGCAAGCACACATGGACAGAATCTGGGATCAGAAATTCCATCAGACTGCACCTGCTAATGTGTTCATCTGCCTGCCTTGTAAGATTCTGATGTGTCGCATGAGTGATGTCTTCCCTAAGCGTTAGTCTGGAGTTTTCCTCTGAATAACCAGAATTAACAGCTGTGGTCAGCTGGGCTCAAAATCTGAGGACTCAGTTTTGTGAAATGTTACCGTGACGGTCTGTTTACTTCCTCCTCTGTGAATGCAGCTAACACTGACAGCATTACCATTTTCAACACTAAGATAGCACTATCATTTTCAGTTATCAGTAGTACTTAGGGGCATATACAGAAAGGCTAGAGAATGTAAATGATTGGATTAGTTAGTTACATAACTGGTTATTAATTAAATGATCACAAGAAGGCATTACTCACAGACTTCAATACGGAGTAGGAATGAACAGTTGTCCTAGATTGTAACTGCAGTAGAAGCGACATGTACATCGTTTTGGATGAAAAAAGGCTCCATTTGGAGACCTTACGTAAAACTGCTGGTACAGTCGTGCACTGCCAGTTTTGCAGCTAGTGTAACGACTTAGGAATAATTCAGTGTTTACATAGAAATTTCTTCAGTTACATTGTTTTGTAACACAGAATAGATTATTTTAAGTTTATTACATAGGGTTTTTTTTAAAGTCCAGTTTATAGTTTTGATATACATGTAAAATATGTTTTTGTAACTCGAAGAATGTAGAGCTAAGGATGCCTGGTTTTCATGTCTTGAAATTGACCTCATGTACTACAATTCCGTAGTGTCTATAATTGGCATTACTCTGAAGCATTTTCCTTACTGCAGGCAGTATTGAGGTGTCCATTTCCACAAGGAATTTTTAAGTACGCCAGGCCCAAACCAAAGCTGGTTGTGGTCAGCCAAGGGTTTAAAAAGTTATTACAGTAGGAATTCACCTCAGCCCCATACTCATGTCCTATAAGAATACTAGCCTAAAATGCCTATGCTTATTAATTTAATTCTGTATGAACAAATCTGTCTC